TCATTGGTGTCAGTGGGAGTTATAGTGCCCCATCATTGGTGTCAGTGGGGGGAATAGTGCCCCATCATTGGTGTTAGTGGGAGGAATAGTGCCCCATCACTGGTGTCAGTGGGAGGAATAGTGTCCCATCACTGGTGTCAGTGGGAGGAATAGTGCCCCAACACTGGTATCAGTGGGAGAAATAGTGCCCCAACACTGGTGTCAGTGGGAGGAATAGTGCCCCATCATTGGTATCAGTGGGAGGAATAGTGCCCCATCATTGGTGTCAGTGGGAGGAATAGTGCCCCATCATTGGTGTCAGTGGGAGGAATAGTGCCCCATCATTGGTGTCAGTGGGAGGAATAGTGCCCCATCATTGGTGTCAGTGGGAGGAATAGTGCCCCATCATTGGTGTCAGTGGGGGGAATAGTGCCCCATCATTGGTGTCAGTGGGGGGAATAGTGCCCCATCATAGGTGTCAGTGGGGGGAATAGTGCCCCATCATTGGTGTCAGTGGGAGTAATAGTGCCCCATCATTGGTGTCAGTGGGAGTAATAGTGCCCCATCATTGGTGTCAGTGGGGGGAATAGTGCCCCATCACTGGTGTCAGTGGGAGGAATAGTGTCCCATCACTGGTATCAGTGGGAGGAATAGTGCCCCAACACTGGTGTCAGTGGGAGGAATAGTTCCCCAACACTGGTGTCAGTGGGAGGAATAGTGCCCCATCATTGGTATCAGTGGGAGGAATAGTGCCCCATCATTGGTGTCAGTGGGAGGAATCGTGCCCCATCACTGGTGTCAGTGGGGGGAATAGTGCCCCATCATTGGTATCAGTGGGGAGGAATAGTGCCCCATCATAGGTGTCAGTGGGAGCAATAGTGCCCCATCATTGGTGTCAGTGGGGGGTGGAATAGTGCCCCATCGTTGGTGTCAGTGGGGGGAGGAATAGTGCCCCATCATTGGTATTAGTGACACCAATGATGGGGCACTATTCCTCCCACTGACACCAATGATACTTACCTTGCTGACCCCTGCTCCAGCCTGGGCTCGCTCGCTCCCTCCCTCTCCCATGGTACAGAGACTTACCGGTCAGATGTCTTCCTTCTCCGGCCACTCTCCTCCTCTTCACTCGCTCGATCTTCGCGGTGCCGCTCGGCTCCTCCTCTCCAAGCTCCACCTCCTCGCCGGTGATTGGCCGCCTGTGTGCCTCTCCTGAGCTACAGTTCCGCCGGCCAATCACCGGCGAAGGATTGATCCTGGGGGTGTGCCCAGATGACAGGGACGGCATGTCATCCCGCCCACACCTGGAGACGGATAGAGGAGCGGTGTCTCGGTTCCTAAGGCCCTCGGAAATATGTGTTTTTCGATGGTCTTAGGCGACCCCTGTGAAAGTGTCGTTCGACCCCCAGGTTGAGAACCGCTGCTCTAAGAGATAGAGCCATTCTATCATTGGACGCAGCCAAAGCTTTCGATAGTGTGGAGTGGCCCTATCTTTGGAAGGTACTAGACCTCTTCGGTTTGGGAGCTAAATTTATAGGTTGGTTGAAATTATTATACACTACACCTCAAGCCACAATGTTGATTAACGACTCCCAATTTGCCTTCTTTTCTCTGCACAGGGGCACGCGGCAGGGTTGTCCCCTCTCCTCTTTGCTTTGGCGATAGAGCCTGTTGACGAGACTATTCATCAGTCACTATCTATTACTGGCTTTAGAAGGGGAAACAGGGAGGACAAGCTTGCTCTATATGCTGACAATGCCTTACTATTTCTAGGAGACACAACTCATCCTTGTCTGCTCTTATGTCTATTGTAGTGAGATTTGGATCATTTTCTAGCTTTGAGATAAATTTGGACAACTTTCTCTTACTTCCCCTTGACTCACAAAATATAACATTGCCCCTTTGTGCCAGGCAGATTAAAATTGTGTCAGAATTTAAATATCTGGGAGTCTTGGTCCATCCCACTGTGGAGGATTACTTACGTTACAACTTACAGACCTTAATGGATAAATTTAAATTGAAAAGTAGGGTTTGGAGTAACCTTCCCCTATCCCCATTGTAGGCAGGTCAAATCTTATGAAAATGATTTCGGCCCCACAGTTGCTCTATGTGCTGCATAACTCTCCAATCTGACCTAGCCAGAAATGGTTTAAAAGTATAGACTCTCTTTTTAGGGCATTAATATGGAGGGCTAAGAATCCAAGAATTTGCTTACCCATTTTGCAATTGCCCAAAGATAGTGGAGGCCTGTCCGTTCCCTCGACGAGACTATATTTCCTGGCAGCTCAGCTCTAACACTTTTCCAGATGGGGCACTCTTACCATACAAGACCCTATGCAAGCCATACTTTTGGCAGATAAATATCCATTAATGGATCTGTCAGAAGCAGGGAGATTCTGAGATGACTTTCAATTTCCCACTTTAGGCCTCTTTCAGATGGACGCACCGATCCGGTCCGCCTTCCCATTTTTCAGGCAGACCCGATCGGAGCCTCCATTCTCCTCTAGGGAGTGGTGGGTGTAAACAGACATGTGTCCATTTATACCCACTGACATCCAGTCCGTTCTGTTCCGCAAAAAAGGGATGGATGGGGATCCAATTCCCCTTCCGTCCGTTGGATTGGGTCGGATGGAAACGGACAGGCGGTCTGTTTTCATCCAACTGCCCATTGAGGAGGGCGAGAATGGGCAGTTGGAAGAATGGTATGGCAAGGGCATTCTTTTTCTCTATCAGTTATTCATAAATAATCAATTAAAATCTTTCAAAGATATACAGAGGGAATTTGGTCTTCCACCCCATAGGTTTTACCAGTTTCTCCAGCTTAGGCTTGCCCTATCTGTACAAGCTAGATGGACTAACCTTAATCAAGTGTCCTCTCCACTAATAGATCAACTAGCTTCTTCCCACAACATGAGAGGACTTATATAGTCTCTATATCAATCTATTTTGCTCAACTCCCTTGGTACTATTCCACAGCCTGGGAGGTCAGGGTAGGCTAAGATATAGATTCTCTGGATAGGGAGATTTGGAAGGCTATTCTGCAGTAGGTTTCAATGGTGTCCATTTCACCATCCCAAAGGTTGTCCCAGCTTTTTATTATACACAGAGTGTACCGAAAACAATATAAAAATTATACCAATGGCATCGTAGGGAGACTCCGGAATTTTCTAGATGTGGAGGCTGCACTCCAGACCCTCCTCCACATGCTCTGGAAATGCCCAAAACTAGTTAGATATTGGCGGGGTATAATCAATATTGTAATTCAAGTATTTCGAACACAACTTCACAATGATCCACTAACTTGCATACTCAGATTCCTGGATGAGGAGCTTTTTACCCCTCATACTCTGACTTCTATCTCCAGACTATTATTTATAGCCCATAAATGTATTCTGTTGAAATGGATCTCCACTTCTCCCAAATTTTGAGTTCTGGAGACAACAGGTTAATCTTACTCTGCTCAAAGAGCCGTAAATTCTGCAGCAGCGAGGTATTCTTTGTCAATTTAATAAGCTTTGGGACTCCTGGATGCAAGTACCAGGGTTAGCCCCTCTGTCCTTATTATCCTTATACATTTTCCAATGGTTAAATTGATAAGAGGAATAGGAAATACAAGGCACAATGTGAAAGGTGTATGGCAGTGCGTCAATATATTGCATCAGAAATATCATGGTCTATGATTGTTGACTTATTTCTGAAGATGGAGCTAAGGGGAATACTGTATATGGTTTCCTTGTAAGTGATCACAGGTTCTATTTGTGTTCATAGAAAGTTTGTATGTTTGAAGAATGTTGTGGTGATCTCCCAATGTTTTTATGTTTTACTGTTTCACAGTAATGCTGATCTTAACCCTATTCTCACACAGAGCTAGACACATGACAAATTGGTATTGTGAAATTGTATGTTTACTACTGTATACCAGGCTTTGCTTGTTGTTTTGTACCTTTTTTTTCTTTTTCTATTTGGAGTTTTGTAAACTGGAAAACTTTTGAATAAAAATGATTTGGGAAAATAAACACAGCGATCACACCACACATGTGAGGTATCACCGTGAATGCCAGAGTGAGTGAAATCATTTTTGAAATAACAGTAACTCTAAACTGTTAACCTGTAAAGGCTTTTAGAATGTCACCTATGGAAATTTTTAGGTACTGTAGTATGGCGCCGTTCCACAGGTGGATGCAATTTTAAAGTGTGACATGTTTGGAGTTTACCAAAACAATTGGGTATTATATTGTGTTTTTGTGCATTAAGATTAAAGTGTATCGTGCAGGTCAAACGGTGGGTTTTTGAATTGTTTTTTTCCAAAAAAATGTGTGTTTTAAAAACCGCCACGCAATATTGCGTGACATAGAAATATGCAACATCCACCATTTTATTCTTTAGGGCCTCTGCTTAAAAATATATATAATGTTTGGGGGTTTCTAAGTAGTTTTATATTAAAAAAAAAATGTTTTCTACATGTAGGAGAGGAATGTCTGGATTGCCCTGGACTAGAAAATGGTTAAAAACCTCTCATCGTTAGGGGATTAAAATATACAAACTATAACGTAGCTGGCATAATATACATCAAAAAGCACTTGTTTTCTACCCTCACATGAGAAGGGGAGAATGCCTTCTGTCATGAATTCAATGCAAAACCTTAGCCCACTTTTATAAAAAAAAATTATCCTGAAACCTAGTCAGAACTCTAATCCTAGCACTACCTGTACAGTTTTTGGAACGTGCAATGGGATAATAGAATGCCTTCTGTCATGAATTCGTGACCAACTTTTGAACATTTTTTTAACATCACTCACTTTTTAAGTTCAATGAAAATAGCTGGAGACAATTACTTGATATATATACAGTATCTAAGTAAAATATCTAGTAATTCTATGAATTTTAGTAAAGTTGACCAATACATTTTCCCACAACATAAAAGCTGTAGCAAGGTGACAATCTATGAAAATGCACTTGCATAATTTGAGCAGCACATTTTTGGACTACAATAAACCAAAGTTGTTTTTTTTTTTCCTTAGGACTATGTTGGTGATTTAGCAGCGCAGATTTCAAATGATGAAGAAGAAGAATTTGTCATAGAGTGTCTTGGGACCTTAGCTAACCTTACTATTCCTGATTTGGACTGGGAACTGGTTCTTAAAGAATACAAACTTGTCCCTTACCTCAAGGACAAACTCAAGCCAGGTAAGTTGTTTATTCTCAGCTTAGGTTTTTTAGTAATACCCGTTTTTACTAAACTTCAGTAAAGAGGAACTCCAGAAGAACAGATAAATACTGTATACAGTTAAAGTGCTGTTGAATGAATAAAAGAACAGTAGATTTAAAGGACAATAGAAAGATGCAAGATTAGAGGTTTGGTATTATTTTGTATCATTTACATTTGTTTTTAAAATAATAGCACAGTGATATTGTAATTATATGAGGAGACCAGTTTTAGGTGTAGTATTTAACTTACTAGAATACATAATAAAAGTGTGGAAAAAAATAACGTGAAAGAAGAGAGCCTTGGGATATTTTGTTTAGTAATCCTGGTGGTAAGTCCATGTTAAAAATATTGCATTGCCCTGCATGTAAGTACATGTCTAACATGGTAAAATTTTACAGAATAAATATATATTTTAGATGAAATTTCAGAAAGTTGTACGTGTGTGTGTGCAATTTGGACAGTTCACAGTTTCTATTAGAAACATTTTATCTAATGGCTTTAGAAATATCATTTTATGCTGATTGCATTTTGTTGGTAGTACTGTCCTAACTGTGCTGGTAAAGTAGATTCTGATAATTTAATCTTGGTAAAACGTCATTTAGCTATTCTTCATGTCAGCACATTGCAAAAATGTTGGAAACACGTGGCACTACGTTGATCTTCTCTAATTATGCTTACCAACCAGTAGATGAATCCTTTGGCAACTGTTATGTCACTGAGCTGTGAACAGTGCTCTGTTTCAGAGTTACTGCTCCTGCACAGAACTTTCAAGCAAGCATTAAGACCAATCAGGATAGGTAAAAAAAAGTGTCTTTACAATTCATACATAGTATGTATTCAATTCTATAAATATACTAATTAGGATAGGTCAGTGCTGACCATACAGCCCAAGTTAAGTAAACTATCTTTCTGTTAAGTGAACATTATGCTCTGATATGCACATAGAGTTTTAGTAGTAATATAAAAAAAGGATGTCTGGATTGGGAGTGTGGAGGGTGACATGCTGCAAGACTATGGTGCCTGAACAGCATTGCCCCCAAGGAGAGCACAGCCACATACATGCACTTCTGCTCACCCCCTGTCTTGTAGGCTATCTTACTAGACGTATCAATTCAATTTCCAAGTGCTGGAGGAATTAAGACTGAATCTCAAACAGCTTTTTCTCTAAGACACATCGCCATAAAGATAAATTGCCTAAATTTGCAAAGGACCTATATCCCACAGGATACCACAGTCCCTCTCCAGTCACAAGGGCTGAGCATCCTAATTTCCAGGCAATCCCCCTGTAAATGTATAAATCAGTACTCTATTGAAGAAGGCAGATTCTTTTTATTAAAGGGGAACTTTACTGCCAGAAGATTAAACTGGCTAAATTTTACCTTACCAATTCAGGCCAAGTGATTTTCCTAGAGATCAGTCTTAACAAACTAGAGGAGTTGTCAGAGGGGATCTGGGGATACAAGGATTTATAACCTGGGGTCCATGGATGGGTTTCAGGGAGTCTGTGAGGGTCAGATAAAAAAATAGCATTTGCACTCACTACACAGCCTTCCCCTTTGTCCCAATGAATGATTTCCCATTGAAAGAAGTGAAAGAAAACACACCTTGCCATTACTTATAGCACTGATTGCTGAGCGCCTCTTGATTCATTGTTGGCCCATGTTTTCCATTTAAATTTGTACCGTTGTTCTCTGCACAACCGCCATCTTGTGCCACTTAATAAGGAGTGGCCACTGATTCATGCATGAAAACGAGTAAGCTTTTTAAGATTGGTTACTTTTTGTGTACACCATACTGTATATGTATGAGGCAATCAAATTTCAATAAATTGAAGTACATATATTCACTGCATGCAAATTTTGTTTGTGATTCCTAAAGGGGTCCGTAGCTAAAAAAAAAAAAAAAGGTTAAGAACCACTGAACTAGTAGATGTCCAGAGCATATTACATCATAACACATCATATTTATTTATGTATTGATTTTCTTCTTCTTCAACAATCCACCATACCAGTGGTCACCCACTTAGCAATAGGAAGTATACCCCTTTCTGGTCTTTTTCCGGTCCTGTTATCAATTGCACTGTGGGATAAGATACGGAGACCCTGGCAGTAGAAATTAAATTACTCACTTTTACAAAACCCAATGATCCCAAAGATATAAACAGAACTAGAACAATATTTTGCCACAAATTACTTACCTGAACAAAACCCATTGATAGTGTTATGGCCCACAAATTTATATTAGAGGAACAGGTGGGATCAGAGATGCCAATAATGGCTTCACTGTGGCTGATTACTGGGTTGGAGCAGAGAAATAGTTTTAGTGGGGGGCACTTTCGATGGATTGCCAGATGTAAATAGGGTTTTGAAGGCAAGCGTAATAAGTCTGGATTTCATTTGTGGTTTTTTTTTTTGGAGGGGGGGTTATTGTCCTACATTGGGATGAAGGTATGTCAAAACCTACAGCTCCCTCAACCAATGTTTAAGAGATATGGCACCGTTAAATGTATATCATGTAATGTAAAGATTTTAAATCCCAGGTGAAAAGATATAAGATGCAAGAGGATTACATTATTATATAGCAAATGTAGTGTTTTTGCAAGACTTCTATTGCTCATGACTCTAAGATTAGATTAACATGTAAATACTTTCCAATGTGGTACTATGGGGATTCATCCTCAAGAGGAAATAGACGTGTGGCTATAGGACTGGATAAAAACACTGTTTTTGGTGAAGGAGCATTTGGCAGACCTGGACGGCAGCACTTGTTATGAAAGGCTCTTTGCTTAATGCTAATCTTTGTTTCCCTAACAAACAGCCAATTGTAATCTAGAGAAAGTACAAAAAAAAAAAATCACATAATTTAAAGAGGGCAAATTAATAGTCACAAGAGATTTTAACTTTTATTTTGACCCCACAGTTACAGTAGATACATCGTATAGTACTTATGCTTCATACCAAATATTTTCAAATAAAAAGGTTCTTCATCAGTACCAACTGGTAAATAAATGGAGGGCCAAGCATCCAAGGAGTAAAGACTTTACTTTTTATCTTCAGTTCATGAGTCTTATTCGAGAATAGATTACATTTTGTTAGAACATCAATATTTAGACTCCCTCAATTACAGCTGCAATTAAACCAATTACACTATCAGATCACTCACCAGTAATAATTAAAATAAATTTCACATCATAGTCGCCTAGAAATTTTTTCTTGGAGGCCAAAGGGCTCTCTGCTACAAGACCCAAAGGTCCTGAAAAGAATTTAATGTGAGTTGGACATATTTTTTTTTCTTTTTAATGTTTTAATGACTCCTCTGAAATCTTACAGGCTACCATTTGGGAGGCCCATAAGGCCTATATTAGGGGCATTCTGATAGCAGTTGGAGCGCAGAAAAAGAAAAGAATGGTTGACTAAGGTAAACACTTTAGTAACAGAAATTCAGAAATAGAATGAGCACATAAGCTAAAAACAGATGTCCACCTGCAACTGATTACGAAAAAGAGAGGAACTAAAGACGTATATATAGAACAGACGTGCCTTTAACCGCTTGCCGCCCTGCCACTGTGTATATATATGTGTGCAGGGCAGCAGTGGAGCGCAAAAGCACGTTTTTAAAACGTGCTCCGCGCTCCCGACACATTCGCGGGTAGGGGGCGCGCAGCGCGCTCTCGCCGACCCGCAGGTGATACGATTCGATCCAGGAGGGATCAATCATTAGATTTCAGCCAGTGATTTATGGCTGAAATCACATGATCGGTCCCTGTCCTATCCTGTCCTGTGTTGATATTTACACAGGGCAGGATATGATGTCATTCTTCTCTGCCTGGACACATTCCGTTCCAGACAGAGAAGAAGACATCCAAAAAGTGAGTACACAAGCACTACACTACAGTTAGAACACTCTAGGACACATTTAACCCCCTGATCACCCCCCCCCAGTTAACCCCTTCACTGCCCTGTCACCAGTGTCACTGATCAGTGAAGCGATTTTTACTGATCAGTGTCGCTGGCGACCTCCGATAGAGTTAGCGCCCCTCCCAGATAGCGCCAGTTTGCCCGCTAATACACCAGTAGTCCCGTCTAACCCTTGATCGCCCCCACCCCCCAGTTAACCCCTTCACTGCCCTGTCACCAGTGTCCCTGATCAGTGAACCAATTTTTACTGATCACTGTATCAGTGTCGCTGGCGACTTCCGATAGTGTTAGCACCCCTCCCAGATAGCGCCAGATTGCCCGCCAGTACACCAGTAATCCTCCCGTTTAAAACCCCTTGATCCCCCCCCCAGTTAACCCCTTCACTGCCCTGTCACCAGTGTTACTGATCAGTGAACCAATTTTTACTGATCACTGTATCAGTGTCGCTGGCGACTTTCCGATAGTGTTAGCGCCCCTCCCAGATAGCACCAGATTGCCCGCTAGTACACAGTAATCTCGTTTTAACCCCTTGATCGCCCCCCCAGTTAACCCCTTCACTGCCCTGTCACCAGTGTCACTGATCAGTGAACCGATTTTTACTGATCACTGTATCCGTGTCGCTGGCGACTTCCGATAGTGTTAGCGCCCCTCTCAGATAGCGCCAGATTGCCGCTAGTACACCAGTAATCCCATTTAACCCCTTAATCCCCCCCCCAGTTAACCCCTTCACTGCCCTGTCACCAGTGTCACATGATCAGTGAAGCGATTTTTTTTTTTTTTTTTTTTACTGTCACTGTATCAGTGTCGCTGGCGACTTCCGATAGTGTTAGCGCCCCCCCAGATAGCGCCAGATTGCCCGCCAGTACACCAGTAATCCGTTTTTAAAACCCCTTGATCGCCCCTCCCCCCAGTTAACCCCTTCACTGCCCTGTCACCAGTGTCACTGATCAGTGAACCAATTTTTACTGATCCACTGTATCAGTGTCGCTGGCGACTTCCGATAGTGTTAGCGCCCCTCCCAGATAGTGCCAGATTGCCCGCTAGTACACCAGTAATCCCAT